ATTTTTCATTTCACGCAAAATTTGCAAATTTTTCTCGAGACAATTTTCGAAATGGAACGTATCACATTTAACGAGATCTAAAAATTTACATTGAATTTCACTACACGTCAAAATAATTATGTAGGCTTAAATTACTTGTTGGAATATTAAAATTTTTTGCAGTATTGTTCATCATGCTTCAAATTCTTATGCGTAACTATTTTGATGGTCCAATAAAATTATTTTTAAATACTATTATTTTCAACAAAATTTTCTATATCCATTTAAATATTTAGAAATATTTACTTCAATAAAATTATTCTTTTCATGTATTTATTTTCCCAACAAGTAATTCTAATCTATACGCTCGCAAAAAGCGAGACCGTCTTTATTTTCTAATGTCTCTCGCGTAATTTTCGTTTCCACGCTATTTCCTCATTCTCATCAGAGAGAAAACACAAATAGTCGATTGTTGGTATTCAAATATACATCGTGTGCAGATTAAATACCTACGAGTTTGTTCGCCAGCGTACTCTGGAGAGAAATGTGAAAAAACGAGCAAAATAGAAAAAGACTCGAACATCGAAGAAACCCAGCATTGTGAGTCGTTATTTAAAAGAGCGCGCCGTTATTGGCTGAGTGCTTCTACAGAAAGAATTTCTCCACGTTAAACGCGGCTCGTTTAATTATCTTCCGTAAGATTTTCCACTAGAACGATTCCATTACGTGCGGTGACATTCGTTCGGGCGCTATAATGTTCTCCCACTTCGTCCGACGTGCTTGGACTAGCTATTCGCGACTAATTTCTTGGCAAACTCGTGGACGACATAGACGATATTAATCTTTCGTAGAATAAAATTAATTTTGCACTAAAAACATTTAATTAATTAATTATTATTTATTATACGATATAATAAATAAATTTATTAAAATGTTTATTACATTAGAAGAAAATGCGAATGAATTGTATAAAGAAGAAATTGTTTCTTATAGATATCGTATTTTAACTTCAAGTTATTAAGAAATGATTAAATTAAAATTATTTAATGAAATAATATTGGACCTAATGAATCTCACGTAAATGAAATTAATGAATAAAATTTATTAAAGACAAATAAATTTAGATATTTTAACTCAATCTTTAGCAGTATATATTTAAAAATAATCTCACGCTGTGTGTGTGTGTGTGTGTGTGTGTGTGTGTGTGTGTGTGTGTCCAGCACGTGTCGTAATCGATCTTGGATCTTAAACTTTGAATTAGTGTTCACACAAAAAAGAAGCATTTAATTTTAAGATTTTAAAGTGTTTTATTTTTGTTCCCATTTTTTAAATATTTAGGCCGGTATTCATAGATCTTATATTCAAGACTAAAAGTACAGATTTAAGAAATCACGAACCAATCAGAAAGCCGTATTAGTGTCTTAAGACTTGAAAGACAATCTTGAAATAAGAATGGACTATGAATACTGTCCTTAAAGATGTTTTAGTGTATCAAATCAATCTTTTTTAATAAACAAAACACTATGTTTGGATTTAAAACTTTATAAGATTTCAATCCAAACACATAGTGTTTTATTTATTGAAAAAGTTTAACGCTAAACATTATTAAGAAACGACTATATATATGAATACATCAAAAATGAAAGAGAACGCTATCACAGTCAAGGCTAGATGTTTCGCATAATATTGAGTTGTTCGGAAAGTTCGTGCCGATTTTGAAGGAAAATTGAAAGAAGCTTTAAATTTTAGTATACATTTATTAAATTATATAGGTGCCATTCTGTTCTACAACTTTTCTCCATCTTTCAGGCAACTTGAAAATACCGTCCTTCCAGAATCTCTCAGGTTTTTCAGCGAAAAACTTTTCTAAGTGATTTTTTTACTTCGACCAAAGAGTTGAAGCTTTTTCCATTAAGGGAATTTTGTAATGATCGAAATAGGTGGAAATCAGAGGGCGCGAGGTTTGGTGAATATGGTGGATGGGGTAGAACATGCCAACGGAGCTCCAACAACTTTTGTCGAGTTATCAAATACATGAGACCGCGCATTGTCCTGATGAAACACGACGCCCTTCCGATTCACTATTTCTGGACGTTTTTGTTCAATTGCTGTCTTCAGCATCAATTCGTCTAATTGGAAACAATACTTCTCTGAATTTATCGTTTCGTTGTTTGGTAAAAGCTCATAATACAGGATCCCTTTCCAATCCCACCAGACACAGAACATGACTTTCTTTGGATGAAGATCGGCTTTTGGGGTGGTTAAAGGTGATTCATTCCGCTTTCCCCAAAATTTTTTTCGCTCAACATTATTGTAAATGATCCATTTTTTATCCCCCGTCACTACTTGCTTCAAAAATGATGTCTCCTCGTTGCGTTTATAGAGCGAGTCGCAAATGGAAATACAATCCATCAGATTTTTCTCTGTTAAATCGTGGGGAACCCATACATCAAAACGGTTTATATAGCCAAGTTTCACAAAATGCTCGTGGATGGTGGATTTTGACATATTCAACATTTTTGCTAATTTACATGTCATATAGCGTGGATTATTCTCGATCACTGTTTTAATCTGATCTTCATCTGTGGTGGAGGACCTACCCGGGCGTTCTTGATTTTCAAGGTTGAAATCATCAGCTTTAAACCTAGCAAATCACTTCCGCACAGTTCTTTCAGCTACAGCACCTTCGCCAAACAGCGCATATCTTGTTTGCCGCTTATGTAGCATTTTTGTCTTTCCGGTAAAAGAAAAGCATTAAATGCCTAAAATGCACTTTGTTTTCTTCCATATTCAAAGTATCATCTTTTACGATATGTACGCATGTCATTTGTTTTCAATCATTCTGATATATTCAGACCTGTCCTTACACCACTAAAAATTGGCACGACAACTTTCCGGACAACCCAATACAATATATATTCTTTATTAAATTTATTTCAGATATGATTGCGTGCCGATAACTTTTGGACTTTTAACACAATTAGTCTAAAACGCTAATCCTCCTTAAATTAAATTTAAAAAATTGTAAAGAACTTAGTGCAGAAAATATTACCTCAGTCAAGGGTTTAAAACTAAAATGTTTATAAGTGTTTAACAAATAGAGACAAGAATAAAACATTTTAATATCTTAAAATTAAATACTTCTTTTTTTTAGTATACAACGAGTTAATAAACTGAATTATTCAAATTATTTATAATATTATTTATGATATTATTTATAATATTAAAACTA